TCTGTTCCTTCCTGGTAGGTGGCGACACAGCAGTCTCGGTGCTGATTGTCCAGAAAATGGGAGAAGAGAGCGCCGAAGCGACAAGCGATACCAGTAAATACTAAATACTTTAGTCTTAATTAAAAGGGAGCCTGCGGTGTGATTGGCAGAGGGACAAAAATACGGTGGGTGGGTTGCCCCCTCTTTGTTATGAGGGATAAAGACAGGATAAAAGGAGTTTTTGTTGCTCTTTGGTTCATGCTTGTTTTTAATGTTAGCAATTTGGGTCTTTTCCACCCTGAAGAACTCTGGCCAACAGGAGAACTGGTGTAGTGAAAGGCTGAAAATTTGGAATACTGTGTGCGCTTCATCTCGGAAAGGATATTGTAGAACTAGAGGGGTTCCGAGATAGAACGAGAGAGGTGACGAGAAGGATCAAGGGCCTGGGAAAACTCTCCTGTAAAGAGAGCTTGAAAAGACTGAGATTGTTACCTTGGAGAGGAGACGGGTACAAGGGACAGGATAATGGATGGGATCGAGAAGGTAGATCTGTGTCTAGCACAAGCAGAAAGGGGACAGTCAATGGAATGGAAAGGTGGGAACTTCAAAACTGATCAGTGGAAACAATTTTTCACACACTGGGTAATTAAATGGTGGAACTCACTGCTAGGTAACATCGACCGATGGTGTTAAGGCCAAGAGCTTAGCAAAATTCCAAGAGGGATTGGACATTTCTATGGAGAACAGAAAGAGCCAGAGTTGTTATAATGCTAACAAAAATGTTGGCAGAGATATTATCCTCTTACCAGCCACTAGAGGGGGACATGGCACACAATTTGTCAAATGCATTGCCATGCTCCCTAATCCGTTTGGAGCCCCTCAGCCAGGCCAAGGGAGGGCTGTGTGGTGTGGGGATAGCAAGATCTGGGGACTGCCAGTCACTTTCGGATGCACAGGGGGAGGGGAAGCAGTGATGGACACATTCAAAAGGCCTAGGCTTCGTACACAGCACTGGGCCCTGCGTGGAGGGGACTGTATGATCTGACCTTAAATGACAGTTTCTTTTGCTTTCTGGTAGGTAGAGGGGTTAATGACTCAATGCTGCCGGGTCACGGACAAGTGGAAGAAAGGAGAAGAGATGTGGGTAAATAATTATATTAATTATTAGGTACAATATGGTAACATCTAGAGACAGCAGTTGAGCCCCATTGCATGCTGCACAGACCCACAGTGAGACACAGTCCCGGCCCCAGCTGAGATCCGGGCCCCGTTGTGCCGGGCGCTGTACAGATACACAGCGAGAGACAGTCCCTGCCCCAGCTGAGATCAGGGCCCCGTTGTGCCGGGCGCTGCACAGACACATAGTGAGAGACAGTCCCTGCCCCAGCTGAGATCAGGGCCCCGTTGTGCCGGGCACTGCACAGACACACAGCGAGAGACAATCCCTTCAAGTGCTGTTCCTTTAGCTCAAGTGGTAATGGCTTGTGCCTTTAAATCCAGAAATCAGGCGTTCAATTTCTACTGCTGATGAGTAGCCCCCAAATTAGCCCCAGTAACTCTGGGCAACCATGAAAATGTCTCTCCCAATCAACCAGTGGCCACTATCAGAGCTTCGGGGGAGGGGACAGGGGAATTACTGAGCGATCCACCCCTGCCTTGCCCTCCTGGCTTCTGGCAGTCAGAGGAGCATGGGGTTGTGTCTCTGACCATCTTGGCTAATGGCCATTGATGGAACTGTCCTCCAGGAACTTAGCTCATTCTATTTTGGAACCTAGTTATTTTTGGCCATCACCACATCCAATGGCAGGTGGACTATGCGCTGTATGAAAAAGTATCTTCTCTTGTTTGTATTAAACCTGCTTCCTGTTAATTTCATCAGGTGACACCTGGTATTTGTGTTGTGGGAAAGGTAAATAACACTTCTCTATACACTTGTTCCACACCGTTCATGGTTTTATAGACCTCTATCCTATCCCCCCCTTAGTTGTCTCTTTTCTAAGCAGAACGGCACTAATCTTTGTAGTCTGTCCTCGTATGGAAGCTGTTCCATGCTCTTGATCATCATCAACTAGATTTATCCACTCATGGAAGCACCTAGCAAAACATGACCATTTTCACGCACCGGCAGCATTTGCTATTGAAATGCCTTCGTCTCCTTTCATCTATTTTTTTTATTTTGCAGATTTCAGCCTAAAATGCATTAAAGATAAACGGATCCCAATTACCGTTACTGTCGTCATCACAGCTTTGATCATCACCGTAATTGCACTGGCGGGTGAGTGAAGGGTCATTACTAACCCAGCTCATTCTCATTCCCTTGTCACTGATTCTTCATTGACTGCTTGTCCTAGCCTCAAGGTCACGGTGCCCACTTGCGTTTCCCACGGCCTCTTCTCGCTGTGTCTTTGCCCTAGTCTGACTCCTCCATTGAAGCACATTCCCCTTTTCAGAGGGGAAATCTCTCTCCAGACCCTTTCCCCCAAAGAGGAAGGGCCTAACCCCATTCCCTGCCCCCTGGGAAGCAGCCCCACTAGATCCCAGGCCTGGGTAGCGGTGTAGGGATGCAGTGGGTGGGTCTCCCTGCCTCCCACTCCCTGTGTCATCCAATGCCCAGTCTCACCTTAAATTGTTGTAGGTTTGGGTGCCACTGTGTGGCCATGGCTCACAGCGCATCTTGAAAATTGTTTCCAATCCATTTATCATTGTTCTTCCTCCCTCATCCGCAGTACTGTGTGTAAATGCAAATGGGAGTCAGGCAGAGGATTCAGTTCCCTGATCCCGGCCAGTCTCTCGTGGCTTTGGGAGCATTTCTGAATTTCTTTTCTGTGCCAAAGCTCCTCCGTAAAACTCACGTGACACAGAGAATCTGTCGCGCTGAACGGATTCTTCCCGTTCCTGGCTGGGCGTCGCTGGCGCAGTGGAAAGGGGTGTGTTGGAGTGTGTGCGCCCTGCCCCCAGGAACCGAAGAGTTCCAGGGATTCCTTAGAGAAGACACATGCTGTAGGGAGTGTGCGGTGACAGCTGTCAGTGCTGGAGCAAGGGGCTGGCTCCTTGGCCTCACTGGGCAAACAGACCTTCAAAAGGAAATGGTTACAGGGAGGAACACGCTGTAGGGGTCAGGTTGAGCTGCGTGGAGAGTGGGAGACTCTGGGCTGGATCCTTAGACCACTTGACACCACTCTAGGGACTCAAGGTGGATGCAAAGAGCCCTCTGAGAATCCCCCCAAATCAGGGGCCTCCCCAGCTGGTGTATGGGCTCTGCACCCAGAGAGTAGGGGATGGGTTGTGGTTGTGGCCAGAGCACGCTGCATTACAGCTGTTCTGTGCTTCCCAGGCAGCCTGAGAAGCAGAGGGTAAGTTAGAGCAACGCTGAGGCTGCTCTAAGTCACGCCAGGGGAAGGTCAAGGCCCTGAATGGCCCCAGAATACAGGAAGCTCAAAGCCAGCATCTCTTCAACATGTGCCAGACATCCACAGGTGCTGTTTTGCTACAGAGCACATGCCAGCATTTCTGCCCATAGTTAATGCATCTTTGCGTTGGGAAATCACATGGCTGGTAAAAGTTTCCATTGACCCGAACTGAAATTGTTTCTGGTTTTTCAGTTAATGAAAACATTTGACTTTTCTCCCCGACTCAGGAAGGGAAAATTCTGTGAAACCTCAAACGTTTTTGCAGGATCTTGGGAAAACCGTTTCCCGCATCCCTCTTGTTAGGCTCCTTTGCCCTCAGTTTTAGTGGCCGCTTTAGTGGCCTGTTTTAGTGGCCTGAGTGGAACGCCCTGGCGAGTGTGGCCTTTGGGCCCAGCCACAGAGAACGTGAGTTGTTCTAGCCCCACCTAGCGGCTCTCGGCAATGATATTACGGGTCTCGCTCTTCGCTCTGGAGGGCCCCAGTTCTAGCCCTGGTGTGGCAGCCGTCACATGTGTGTACTGAGGATGGTATGTCAAGGGGGAGTCCATGAAATGCACCCACCCCTCCCATTTTTCACCCCTTGCCCCAAGGAGGCGTATTTGAATGGGCTGCCCGTCCCTGGCAGAATGGGCCACCACATACGAAGGTGCCGGAAGTTAAGATGGCGGACGGGCCCATTTTGATGCACGGGTACAATGGGTCATGACGCCATCTTAGCTCCACCCTGTGCTCCCCAGCCACCCCATGCAAATGGCGGCCGTACATCCAGGAGGGGGGGCTCTGTCCGGGGAGCAGGGACTCTGACAAAGGTTTGGGGGTCATGGAGGTGGACACGATGAACACGAGCTCCCAGTGGGACGCTGTGGCCAAAGGAGCTAATGCGACTCTGGGATGTATAAACAGGGGAATCTCGAGTAGTATTGAGGTTATTTTACCTCTGGATTTGGGCCTGGTGCAACCACTGCTGGAATCCCATGTCCAGTTCCGGTGCCCACAATTGAGGAAGGATTTTGATAAATTGGAGAGGGGTCAGAGTTGAGCCACAAGAAGGATTAAAACCTGCTTTATAGTGATAGACTCAAAGAGCTCCATCTGTTTGCAAGAGAAGATTAAAGGGTGACTTGATCCTAGTCTACAAATACCTACATGGGGAACAAATATTTAACATTGGGCTCTTCAGTCTAACACAATCCAATAGTTGGCAGTTGAAGCTGGACAAACTCAGACTGGGAATAAGGCATCAGCTGTTAACAGTGAGTGTTATTCACCCTCGGAACGATTTACCAAGGGGCGCGGTGGATTCTCCATCACTGACAGTTTTTAAATCACGATGGGAAGATGATGTAAAAGCTCTGCTCCAGGGATTATTTTGGGGTAGTTCTAAGACCCGTGTGATGCAGGAGGTCAGACTAGATGATCGCAATGGTCCCTTCTGGTCTTGGGATCTCTGCAAAACGACAACCCAGGCCCGAGACGTGGGGGTCTTAGTGCCCTCTCTGGCCAGGATTCCCACGCAGAGACAGACACCAGGGATAGGCCCATCTCTCACCACTGTGCTACTTGCTTATTTTCAGCCACGAAGACACCCCCCTGCCCACGCTGCCCGCCCCATGTCACTGCTACGTGCCCGGACGGCTGGGTGGGATACCAAGGGAACTGCTATTACTTCTCAGAGACTGAAGGGAACTGGAGCGCCAGCCAGAGCCACTGCTCTTCCCTCAACGCCTCCCTGGCTTCCATTGACTCCCTGCCGGAGCTGGTAAGGAAGTGACACAGACCTTCATAACCACAGCTAGGGACATGCCAGAGCCTGGCGCCCCCTGAAGGCCTAAGGCAGCTCCTAGATTCAAGGAACTGGTTGTGGAAACTCAGGGTCAGGATTTGACATTTTTAATAGAAAAAAATTGATTTTCCCCCCAAAATTTTCATTTTATTTTTAACTTCAAATGTGGTTTCATTT